AACCGTCCAGTCAGCCATTTCTTGTTCTTCGTTTGTTTGTCAATAGACTGTCCGCTACGTACCTCATGGCATGTCCATTTTGACCATTCGCTTGATTGACCATAGCACTGACATTGGTCAAAATGATTTTCAAGAAGACGATCGTGATCGACTGTAGGTGCACCAATACTTGGGACTATCCACGCATGAGTATGTCAGCCACGTTAAAAAGGCGGGAACACGTACGTAGAACGATTCAACAGCATCTAGTCGGCGCTGTATGTCATCATTATCGGTTTCCCTTTGTGGAACCCAACTGTGACTCGACTTTCTTCTCTCCTCTAAAGCCAGGTCTTGCAAGTCCTCAGCAAGTTCACCAGAGGGATCCTCGTCTGAGCCAGCTGAGTTCTCGTCAAGGTACCAGCCGCGGTCATATTTCATGAAACGCTCTCTTTCTTCCCACAGCTGGCGCATCGCTCTAGTCATCTTAACATGAGTCGAGAAGAGCTTTCCGGCTTCAATGATTGACGCCGGTACATCGCTTCCCTCCCATCGCTTTCCCACGAGAGCATCTTGCCGTTCAGTGCTGCCCCTTCCGCCGATATCATTGCTCGAATCATCCAACGGGGGATACATAAAAGGAAAGTTCTGGTTCGTCTGGTAATTCTGCTTCTTGCCTGCTTTACCACCGGGCCCTATAGGTGATGGTGGAGGAGATGGAGCCGGTGTAGCGATGTGGACAGACTGATGGAGGATAGAGCCGTTTCCACCAGCCACAGACGGACCTACTCCGGAAAAGAGGCCGGTAGATGAACTGGTGCGGCTAGGATGCTGAGGAAGAGGAGGGAGGATAGAGTTATTTTCAAGCTCCAGAGGAACGACAGGTAGCGGGGGGTTGTAAGCAGGATATTTTGATGTGATCTCTTGCCGGAACAGGTGGTAATCCAGGGGGGAAGCAGTCAGAAATGGTGTCCTCCTGTTGGGAGAGTTTTCTCGTGCCTCCATTCGCGGCTCCAGCTCTTCCTTGGCTTTCTTCAAGCTATCGCTTCCACCAAAGAAGAGGAGAAGACACTTCCAAAAAAGGAGAATGATCCGCGTGAGCGGAATGTTTGCTGAATCGTCCCAGCGCAGTCGTGCGATGACTTCGACAAGAAAGACTGGCAAGTTAGGCTTCAAGCCCATGAGCGCATCGCGCAGGGGAACATTTTGAGAATCATTTTTCTCTTGCCTTCGGCCAATCTCTACGACTATGTATAAAGCCGTAAGCACAAGGTTCACTTCATGTTCTGACGCAGCGACATTTGCGGAATCCAAGTTCGAGTCCAGACCGTCCAAATCGGGATTGGGTGAGTTCCGATTCTTCTCAAGAGCTTTGCACAGACAATTGAGCAATGGACCAAGTCCTGAACACTCATTGACAAGCTCAGCATTTCTCTGCATCCATATGATTTGCAGTGATTTTGATTTGGGTGTATCTGCGACTGCCTGCGGGGGCAGATCTTCTGGGTAGTCAGGGATTGCTTTTCCAGCAGTACTACCCCAGATACCAGTCAATACATAGCAAATAACCTCTAACGCTTCGGTACGAGCAGAAATGTCTCGATCCGGTAGCCCATTGATTATTTGTTCGATGAAAGATTTGCGTAAGTCATGAGGGGCATCAAGCCAAGGCAGCCGATTGGGAACTGCAGACTGCTTCTCACAGAAAGAAGCCCACTTTTGCTCAAATGTAGACTTCATGCCAAGGAGCATGATTCGATCAAACTCACTGTATTGGAACCATTCTTCGATTTCTTCCGCAAGAGGCTGAGAGTCAGCGTACTCAAATGCATACGCAGGTTGATCGGCCTTGGGCATGTCCTGAACTATTTGCTTTAATTGAGCCAGGCTCAACGAGTCCGGCGGCCTGTCCGGCAGTTGCTGCACCGGGGCAGGAGGCGGAGGCTGTATAGGAGGCGGCGGAGCTGATACGTCCCGACGCAGTTCTGGACGTCTCGATGGTTTGGGTCTTTGCTCTTGCAACTCATTTGGTTCAGCAGACGTCGCTTTTAAAGCCTGTTCTTGTCGCAGGCCTTGCGCGACCTCTTCCATCAACTGATCATCTGACACAGTTGCGATGTCGGTTCCTGTTTGATCGACCTCGTCGGCCTTGACAATATGATGTTCCTGCATTGTGGGTTCAGAAGACGCAATAGAATCATCGATCATTGAACTCCAAAAGTGGTCTCAATGTTTCGAGGAAATGGCTTGGGACAAAGACGGAAAATGTTACTGGACAGCCATACTATCATGGTATCTCCAAGCAAACTAAAATGAAAAGATGAGGGGGAGGGAAAGGAATACGGATAGAAGCCTAAGTCTTCCACTGAGGAAAATGTCTGGGAAAATTCAAACGGTCAAGCATCACTATCAGTCCTCAAGATTCATCCTGCAGAATTCCACCTCTGCGCATAGCGACGAAGCAGTTGAGATGGCGGTGGACTGTCTACGCGCACCCGCCGCTGGCTGTGTCACGTGATCCTATACACTTTGAAAGACTGGCCAACTTTCTAAACCAGGACGTGGCTCGAGTAAGATCAAGAGATGCTAATGACTTTTCTGCTTGCGAAGGACTATCTACAAGCATGCAGTTGCAGGTTAATCCGGACACGGCAAAAGCAGGATTGGTATTAACGTGGGAAGTATATCTCCATCAGTTTTAAGATATTTCAGATTCACTCAGTGCCTAAGATAAAATCCATTTCTATCTTTTTCAGCGAGGACACTGAAAGCTAGGGTATCATAAAGAAACCCATACATGGACGATGGACCTGCTATAACAGTAGGTCCATGAAGTCTCCGATATTCAATCAAATTTGGCCGACGGTTGATCACTGTGACCTCGCCGCTTCAACTTTCGCTGCCTTTCCCATTGCAGCCATCCGGCTTCTGCGAGATCCTGACCTACCACTAAGTCTCGAAGTCTCAAGAATTGAGATATTCCCAGATCTAATACCCGATCGACATAACCCATCGTCCGCAAAAAGCTCGTAGCCACATACCAGGATACCGCACACAAGACGCCAGCAGCGCATCCTGCTAGCACCTGTTTTGGAGTATGATAGTTCAAATAGATGCGGCTGGTGGCCACCGCGCCAGCCCCGAGACACACTCCGGCAGCCAGCGCCACCCGCATGAGGAAATAGGATGTCGTATCAGGCTTTGGAGCGGTTGGAACATGCCGTACGAGAAGGAACAGAGTCAGGTAAACAGCGAAATATGTAACGAATTGGGCATGGGACGACGGCATCCCGTAGCCTTTCCCCAGCATTTCTGAATAAGGTCAGTTACTAGCCTAAGTAAGTCGGCCTGTGCATCTTCTGCTTTTATCACATACGTTTTGGCCTTTCCTCTTTGATAATTCGCTTGAGGGCAAAATTGAATGCCTCACAACCCATTTGGCCAGCAAACATGAAAATTACCTCCACTTCCCTTGAAGCCCAGATAAGGGTCACGTAGGCTACGCATAGTGCTTGGGGTACAAGGGCGAGCCAGGCAGAAAGGAAGGATAGCGGGTCTTCGGGGTTCTATGAACATGAAGTATGGAAGTCAGTATCAAAGATCTGCTCGAGATCGCCGGTAGTGACTGAGTCCTTTCGGAACAGAAACTCACATAATGAACGTGGGTTAACGACAGCGATGCCAGCGGTGTTTCTTCCATATTGTCTCGTAGGTATATACAATAGATAGGCAGCTTGACTATCTATTTGGAAGAATGGTGTAAGCACCTGCACTGCACCCCTTAAGCTGTTGATAACTGATAGGAATCTCGACCGATGATCGTCAACTGGCATACATCATGAGGAGAGTGTGCAGTGCGGTACGTATCAAAGATCCCGCCGTCGCCTGGGAATTACAGCGTAATTTATTCTTCAAGCATTTCCAATGCTGGTCGACATTCATAGAAACATGGAGCACAGTGGTTGTACTCGATGGGTCCGATAAAGAGCGATAACCGTGGCCGTGCATGGGCGCTGCTTTAACCACTTTTATCACATGAACGAGATCCCGCTGAGGAACATCAAAAGCAGCACCGGGAATGAGGGGGAGGGGAAATTAACATCAGATAATAAGTCGAAGATAAGCCCACGAAATATCAGAAATCAAACGGAAAAAAGAAGGTAAAAAGTAAACAAGTACTTCTTATTTGTGGCAATCATTCAAGATGGCAGTCAATATCTTTTAGCAAAGTAGATAAATTATAAGAACCATACACCTGCGCGGAAGTGAGAGCAGCGCCTGGGCAGCAACAAAACAACAACCGTTTTGCGGCCCATTGCAATCGCTTATTTTTATCAAGTCCTTTTCATGACTCACGCAGTCTCTGTTCTTTGCTCCTTTCCTCCTCTTGCTTCTTCGGAGCTCCTCTGCTGTCTCAGGTACAAGACCAGTCTCCATCTCTCATTACTCGGTTTCTTATCTCTATAATCAAATCATGACGCACTTTCCCCCACGTTATCATCGCGAAATTTTGTTCTCTCACTCACCTACTCCGACAACTTTCTCTAGGAAACTGCATACAGTTCAAGAACTCGCTTTCACTTCATATCGGTCTCTTTGCTTGATGGGTCTGTTACCTTCATAGGCAATTGTGATCATCCAACGAGCTTATTGTACCTGAGGGGTAGGTAGAATCCGTCCATGGTCGTCTTCTCGACCGCCACCACTCGTTTTCAAGCTACCTTGGGCCTCTTGTACTAATGCATGGACTCGGATAGGTTTCAACGAGTCTCCGGCACCACGTTACTCTCCCCGACCCCTGGTATATCTTCTACATTGATCTTCAATATAAACTACTTTCTATTTTCCAGTCGATCATTGCGTCGCAGAATGTCATAGACGGCACGAGCTTCCGATTTTATACTATGGTTGGGTTTGGAATAACTCCGTCCAAACTCCGCCTCGCCACCCGATATAACCTCTTATCTCGATAATCTCCATCAACAAATCTGCATTCTTTTCCTTTCTGAGTCTTGTTCGCCATGACGGGGTCTGACTTTTTGTCGGAGGATGAACGCTCAGTCGAGCTGTCCTCCATCGCTGCCATCTACCCTGAAATCAAAATAGATCCAGCCTTTCCCTTCAGGGCCTCTTTGGATATACCGGTCAAGCCTTCAACACCCTTACCTGTCTGCTTCGAGCAGCAATTAGACGCTGGATTCCCAGAGGTGTTGACTCCTCCTACTTCCCTCGATGCCAGCGATGTCGGACTCGGATTTGCAACCAAGGACGACGGACGGGATGTCCATACCCTCTCGCACCTGCCGCCTCTCAGTCTTGAGATTGATCTCCCAGAAGGTTACCCCTCTGAAAAGGCGCCCATTTTCAGGCTCGAGACAAATCCACCATGGCTCCCGCACTCGATCATCTTGCGCCTCACGGAGGATGGCAACCGTCTGTGGGAAGAATGTGGGAGGGATCTCGTTGTGTATACGTATATTGATCACCTCCAGCAATTGGCAGAGACAGCTTTTAGCGTCAGCGACACGGCTGACCAGGAAGTGAGACTTCCCCGTGACATAAAAATAGCATTGCTGGATTTCAACAACAAGGCAGAGCGGGAAAAGTTCGAACAAGAGACCTTCGAATGCGGGGTTTGCCTCGAGCCCAAGAAGGGATCAGTTTGCCACCGCCTTCTGTTGTGTTCCCATGTTTTCTGTGTTTCATGCCTGCAAGACTTCTACAACAGTTGTATCACAGAGGGAGATGTTGACAGCGTCAAATGTCTGGCACCCGATTGCGGCAAGGAGAAAAACGGTATACCCGAGACGGGGAACCAGTTGAAAAAGCGCAAGAAGCACGATCGAACTCTTAGTCCGAGCGAGCTGCTTCAGATACCATTGGACCAAGAGACAGTCCAGCGCTATGTCTTTCTGAAACGAAAGAAGAAGCTCGAGTCTGACAAGTCGACAGTTTACTGCCCTCGACAGTGGTGCCAGGGTGCAGCTCGGTCGAAGAAGCATCCGAAGCCCATCGATCCCATGTCAGATGACGTTGACTCGTCTGACGAGGAGGACGGCTTTGCGTTTGATCCGAACGGAGATGAGGCCCAACTGCCGCCAATGGCGGATCGTGTTGCCATCTGTGAAGATTGCAACTATGCCTTCTGCAGCGTCTGTAAGAAAGGTTGGCATGGTGAGTTGGTGCGGTGCTTCCCTCGGCGGGAGGCGGAGCTGTCAGCCGAAGAGAAAGCGACAGAGGAGTACCTAAGGCTTTACACGTCACCTTGCCCAACATGCGATGCACCCTGTCAGAAACGCATGGGCTGCAACCATATGATATGTTTCAAGTGCAGTACCCATTTCTGCTATCTTTGTTCGAGCTGGCTCTCTGAAGACAACCCTTACCGGCACTTCAACGACATCAACAGCCAGTGTTATAATCGATTGTGGGATTTGGAGGGAGGAGATGGCATTGACCCCGAGGGTCCAGAGGCTCTCCACCGAATACCTAATGATCTGGTCGATTTTGACGAACCGAGTGATGACGAAGGTGCTCCTGTCCTGGAGTTCCGTGAAGATGAGATCGCACACCGAAGGCGACCTCCGCCTCCTGCACCGGTGCCACCGCAAGTCAACCAAGCTGCAGGTGGTCATGGTCATCGGAATCGTGGCAATGATGCGAATGTTCTGGATGCAGCAGGCAGGGCAGCAGCCGCAGAGAGGCAGGCTCAGGCGCGAGCGATAGCTGAGGTGCGAGCGCGTCCTCGGCAACATGACGGGCAAGCTGCAGTTCAGCCGCCTCGACCAGGACGAATCCATCGGCCAGGCCTCCAGAGGTTTTTGGATCTGGTTCAAAATGATCGTGAGGATGAATGGGACAGTGACGAATTGGATGACGACTTCTGATTGCCTGATATGCTCCACACAACAATCAGGCATTCTTGACGACTATAATCTAACCATGAACTATCACGATAATGCCCAACCGCCTTTACGAGACAACATCTTCTTGCATGCATTTGTCAAATAATGATGTGATGCATATATATATATGATTAGCGACATCTTGTTCATGACATTTTGTTCATAGCATTGCGTGTTTTGTGTCTTTTTGAAAAAAGCTGTACCTGTGTGAACATATTCTGTCAATTACCCGATGTACAATGCAAGATACCTCCAATTTTTTGGAAGAAAGAGAAGCCTGAACATCCTTCTCAGCTCAACAAAACAATCATCCCGATACAATGCCGCACTATAGCCGCCAAATCCCCGAACGTAACAAATAGCACAACCCCAGAACCATCCCATACCAGTACAGCATTTTCCGGCTGGTTCTTAGGCAGGTTAATTGTGGTTGTGGCTGTCTGTAGGCTAGCTGTTGTATGATTTCCCAGGAATCATTGACATGCGCCCCGGAGATAGCCCTAAGAGTGTAAAGGTACTTGTTGAACTCTTGCGTCATAGGGACGAAGAATGCCATATGTAGCCGCTTTTTATATTCCCCACACCTCCCATCCGGAGAGCGTCTAATAGCGCATACCAACAACTACTTCCGTAAGTGTGGCTTCCATAAGGTTTCTACAAACCAGATTGTTTCTGCAACGTAAGATGTCGACTTCGAGTGAGCGTCGTGAAATTGTTATCGTCGGTATGTATGAACTATGATCTACTTCCAATCCGAACTACCCCGCACACATTATGAGGCATGCAAAGCTGATAAGATGCTCCTAAAGGGGGTGGTATCATTGGATGCTGTTCGGCATATTATCTGACAAGACACCCATCATACGATCCATCGCGCCATAAAGTGACTTTGATCGAGGCGACAGAAATTGCGGGTGGTGCATCGGGCAAAGCTGGGGGACTGCTGGCGCTATGGGCATATCCAAGCAGTATAGTTCCTCTGAGCTACAAGCTGCACGCCGATCTGGCCAAGGAACACAACGGTAAAGAGAGATGGGGCTATAGAGAAGTTGGCTGTGGACAGATTGTTGTGAAAGGCCGTCCTCTTCATGAGAAGAACGATGCCAGCGAGAAGGACACGGGAAGCTCATTATCCCTTCAAAAGCGGAGTGAGGCTGCTATTGCGAAACTACGGAAAGCCAAATTTCCGCATGATCTTGATTGGATTGATCCCCAACTGATCAGAGGCTATGAGAGCATGAGCGACCCTGGCGAAACCGCCCAAGTTCACCCTTACCTCTTCACCACATCAATCGCAAAGCTTGCCGAGGAGAAAGGCGCAGAGATCAAATTGGGATCAGTGACAAACATTAGCTACGCGGGTGATGCCGTGGAGTCAGTCACATACGATGATAAGGAGTCCGGAGAGTCGCGCACAATCTCGGCGACGGACGTCATTATTGCCGCTGGTCCCTGGACACGAACGGTCATGCCGGAAGCTCCCATATCGGCAATGCGCGCGCACAGTGTTGTCATCCGACCAACCAAGCCGGTGAGCGCTCATACTCTATTTACGAACATTGAAATACCCGCCAACTTCGACCCCTCGAAGCCCTCACGCCCAACAGTCGTGTCCCCTGAGATCTACGCCCGGCCCGATGAGACGGTATACGCTTGTGGCGAGGGTGACCAGGTTGTCCCGCTTCCAAAGACCACAGCAGACGTTGAAGTGGATCTGAAACGGTGCCAGGACATCATCGATCAAGTGGGAAGCATATCTGATGAGCTTCGGGATGGACAGGTTTGCGCACGGCAAGCTTGCTACTTGCCCAACGTCACCGTACGGGGAGGTCCCTTGATCGGCCACACTGGCACTAAAGGGCTCTATCTTGCCGCTGGACACACCTGCTGGGGTATCCAAAACGCTCCCGGGACCGGAAAGCTTATCAGCGAATTTGTCTTTGATGGCGATGCAAAGAGCGCCAAGATCGGGTCTCTAGATCCGAGGAACTTTCTTTGAAAGCTGTATATAGACCAAAATCATGTCATTTTTGGTATAGCCTTGTCTGGAAATAATTTGTGCCTCATCATCTCAGCTCAATCTTCGGTTGCTCAAGTAGATACGGGGTAGAAGACGGACAGTTGGGACTTGGTATAGGAGCTTGGGCCACGTGGAGCGGAAGCCAGAAGCTCTCCGCTTTAGGACAGATCATAGGTACTCCATAGAGTTGAGAACCATTCCAATTGCAAGGTCTCCATGTTATAATTTCTTGCCGAATCTTGAGGTTTCTACTTTTTCTCCGATGCATTCCTAGATATGCATTTCCCGAACTTACATTTGCTTCTCGCGCCCTTTCTCTATCATGTCGTGGTCTCCGCTGGTCAAGCCTCCGCCGCAGACGATTTATCTGTCCTGACCGCAGAGACAGCAAAGGCCAACAACGACTCGTTATTATGGGGTCCCTACAAGTCCAATCTCTATTTTGGTGTCCGCCCTCGCATCGCAAATAGTCTGTCCGCCGGGTTGATGTGGGCTAAGGTGGACGATTATGCCACCGCGCAAGCCAGTATGTTTGCAGCACCCTTAGTGAATTTAGAGGGCGATTGATTTGCATTGAGTACTGACCGCTATTTGAAGACTTTAGACATACTTGCGAGCAGAATGAGGGCATGGCTGGCTATGGCTGGGACGAGTACGATATCAGAAAAGGCGGCCGGCAGACAATCCATGATACCGGAAACTCCTTGGACTTGACAATCGACTTCATTAAGGTCCCTGGTGGACAACATGGCGGCAGCTGGGCTGCCAGAGTGGAAGGTGTCCCGCGCGAAGACGGTTCCCCCGACCAGCCTACATCGATCGTCTTTTATGCTACGTTGGAGGGGCTGGGTAACCTGGGTGTTGCGACGGAATCTGGTCCTCTTGGGTATGAAGGGGACGTGAAATTGACAGGATATACAACCGATCTTGGAGACTTCTCGATCGATGTGACTGCTGGTCCTGGAACCAATGAGCATCCTGAACATGGGCATCCGTCCTACGAGGACAAGCCGCTGGATCGGACTCTGGTTTCCAGCTCTACCATTGCACCTGAAAATCTCTGGCAGGTGAAACGTAGGCTTAGCCCCCCGAGGAATTGCTCTGTCATGTGAAATTGGCGCTGACGTATTCTACAGCGGTTCTTTTCGCGCAGATGAAGTCAGAAGTCAATGAGATGATACAGAGATTTGGTCAGGAGAATCCTCCTCCTCCAGCGCAAGTTTTTACGATCAAAAACGTGCCTGGCGACGGGAACATTCACCTCATTCAGAAGGTGTTCAAGGGCGCTTTTGAGGTATTGTTTACCATTTACTCGTCGGTACATGGCTTACAATTTCCAGTTCGATATCCTGTTCAATTCTGGGTCTTCTCCAGATCCCGTGACGTGTAAGCTCCTCCTTCTCTTGGCCTCGCTGGATGACCAAACGGACATACTAATCAAAGGGATGTAGCCGACAAGCTGAGCGAAGAGATATCCAGCGCATCCCAATCGTTCTCTGAACGCTTCAACAAAGTCCTTCCACCGCAGTCTCCTTTCGATACTGCGGAGTACACTGAGTTCTCCAAGGCGATGCTGTCAAATCTCATTGGCGGCATTGGCTTTTTCCATGGAGATGATGTTGTTGACCGCTCTGCAGCACCAGAGTACGATGAAGAAAACGAAGGTTTCTGGGAGGAAACGGCCGAGGCCAGGGCGCGAGCTCAACCTGTTCGTGAAGGGCCCAAGGACCTCTTCACTTGTGTACCGTCTCGCCCCTTTTTCCCCAGAGGATTCCTATGGGATGAGGGATTCCACCTGATACCTGTGATTGACTGGGACACTGACCTCGCGTATGTTGCTCGATTTACCTAGCCTATTCCCCTATTCTCCAATATCCGTTTGATGAACTGGCCTACTAACTCAGTGAAGGCTCGAAATTGTGAAGAGCTGGCTGAATCTGATGGATGAGGATGGCTGGATCGCTCGAGAGCAAATCCTTGGTGCCGAGGCCCGTAGCAAGGTGCCACCGGAATTTACGGTACAGTATCCTCATTACGCCAACCCACCGACTTTGTTCATGGTATTGGAGGCTTTTCTGGATAAGCTGGAGGCTAGCAAGGGCGCCTCTTCTCAAACAATCGGCGACCAGGGCGTACTGGACGGTCTGCGTATGACCTATTTGCAAAAACCGGAACTGGGCGAGACATTCATCCGATCGATCTATCCGCTGCTCAAGCGGCATTACTTTTGGTACAGGACTACCCAAAAGGGAGACATCAAGTCGTACGACCGGGAAGCGTTTTCCACGAAAGAAGCATACCGCTGGCGAGGAAGGTCCGTCCAGCATATCCTCACTTCGGGACTTGATGATTATCCTCGCCCGCAGCCTCCCCATCCAGGCGAGCTGCATGTCGATTTGATTAGCTGGATGGGAATGATGACTCGTGCCATGCGACGTATCGCTGAGTTTGTCGGCGAGACCGAGGATGTAGAAGAATTCAGAGGGTACGAAACGGCGATTGAGCGTAACATCGACGATCTGCATTGGGATGATGAGGCGCAGACGTACTGCGACGCCACCATCGACGAATTCGAGGAAAGTGTCCATGTTTGTCACAAGGGCTATGTCTCCCTCTTCCCGTTCTTGACCGGCATGCTGGGCCCTGATAGTCCTCGACTTAAGGCTGTTCTGGATTTAATTAGGGATCCAGAAGAGCTTTGGAGCGATTACGGTATCCGCAGCTTGAGCAAGAAAGACGAGTTCTACGGTACTGCCGAGAATTATTGGAGAAGCCCGATCTGGATGCCCATCAACTATTTGGTGGTCAAGAATCTTTACGTGAGTAGAGCCATTATCTGAAATATCGGGTCGTACAGATAGACTGACTGTGCCAACTAGGACATTGCAACAACATCAGGTCCTCATCAGGAACAGGCTCGTGAGATGTACTCGAGCTTGCGGAAAAACTTGGTCGAAAACGT